ATCCAAACCCACTGCCACTGAGTATATTCTGACTCACAGCAACCTGCACAGCAGAAGCGCCCTAGAGGGTCTTCAAGGCTGGAATCTCTATAGACACCAACTACCTCATCTTCCTGCTACAAGGGGGCAGCTGGGCTTGAACCACTAACCTTTACGTTAGCAGTCAAATGCTTTAAACACAGACCCCAGGGTTCATTATACTGTGACTGTGGTCAGGAAATACTTTTATACTCCTTTAAACAATATTATTTCAATAAAAGGAACAACTATCCTATCCTACCCTACTGGCCTGGAATAGTATTATGATTCCATAATTATTATTATTATGCAAAAAAGTATAATTTATTATTATTGTTGTTATTATTATTATTCTATTGTGCACTGCCTTACTCAACAGTGACACCAATTTCTTCATGCCTGCTGTCCGTCTGCATTTTTTTCTTTAGTGCTGTCAGTCCAGGCCTTTGTCCACCTTTTCCATTGGTGCTAATAACTTTCTTTTTAATCTACAGAATTCTTAACGTTATTAAAGGCATTAAGTGTTTGTCATATGTTACAAGTTGACTGTAAACTTCACTTTATAAGTGATGCTTGTCAAGTACAAGCTTTAAATTTCTACTTTGTCAACTTAGTGTTTTCATTTTTCCCTCCCTTATTGCTGTTATGCTTAAAAACATTTCCACTTTGAGAATAAATAAGTTACTTATATTTTCTTCTGGTGTTCTTTTATGATTTCATTCTCATTGTTCACTCTTTGTGGAATTTATTTTTGTGGAAGATACCTGGAGGTTGTTACCTCCATTTCTTCTGGGGTGTTTGTCAAGTTTCCCAACGTGGCTTTTCCAAATCCCACCCCCTTTTTGACCCTTTAGTACCGACTGAACTATTCTCCACATTAGGGTCTAGTTAAGAGATTATCCTTTTTATTGGTGTAATTTCTAATAATTTTATAGTATTTTTAACATCTTTAAGATTGGGCTCTTTTTAGAATTCTTTTGTTTTAGAAATAATTTTAATCAAAATTATTTCTTTTATTCTTGCTTATTTAAATTTCAGAATAATTTTATCAATTTCGGAAACGACTCGATGGCACATAACAACAACAACAACCTCCTCAAACCTCTTTAGACTATTTGAATTGGGTAGAAATGAAGGATTCAGGTATCAAAACTCAAAATGTTTCTAGCACGCAATCTCCTGGTGTAGAAGATGGACCGAGCTCTCCGTCCATCAAAATATACGTGTCTGTGGTTGTAGAGATTATTCTGTGTTTGCAGCACCTCTTTTCAGGAAAGTTAAATGAATGGTACATTTTCAATGTGATTTATTGGCTTTGCAAAGACATGTGACTATGGCTAACACTGAGAAGAATGGGAATCCCAGAATACTTAATTGTGCTCATGCAAAAAAACTATACCTAGACCAAGTGGCTGTTGCAGAAACAGCAGGGGAACATCGCATAGTATAAAATCTGGGAAAGTCTGCATCAGGGTTGTATCCTTTCTTCTATTCTATCTGCATGGTGAGCAAATAATTTGAGAAGCTGAACTATATGAAGATGACTGTGGCATCAAGATTGCAGGCAGACTCATTAACAACCTATGCTATGCAGATGACACAACTTTGCTTGCTGAATGAGAAGGAACTGAAATATCTGTTATAGAAGAAGATCAAAGATTACCGCTTTCAATATGCATCTCTTAACATCAAGAAAACAAAAGTCCTTACCACTGGGTCAAAGTACAACATGACGATAGAGGGAGAAATGATTGAAATGGCCAATCATTTTACTAGCATCCACTGTCAATACTCATGGTAACAGCAGTCAAGAAATAAAAGATGTTTTGTATTAACAACCATCTCCTGCAATTGTATGTCATTTGGATACTGGTGAAAAAACAACAGGGATATATCTACTAAAAAAAAAATAAAAGATGTGTTGTACTGGGGAAATCTGCTGTTAAGGATCTCTCCAAAGTACTAAAGAGCAGGGATGTCAGTTTAATGACTAAGGGGGGGCCTGATTTAAGCCATGATCTTTTCAATTTCTGCCTTTATATCTCAAAGCTGAACAATGAATAAGGATGACAGAAGAATTGATACTTTTGAATTTTGATGTTAGAAGAGTGCTGAATGTCCTACAGACAATCAAAAGAACCACCAGGGTGTTCCTTAGAGGCAAAGAAGGTGAAATTTGGTTGCACATACTTTTGGGTACGTTGTCAGGAGAGCTCAGCTCTTGGAAAAGAGAAATCATGCGGAGAAAGGTGGAGGATTAGAGGGAGAGAGGAAGACTCAACAAGCTCGCTGACACAGAGACTGCAACAATGGGCACGGGCACTCTGGACGGTGCAGGACAGGGCAAGGTTCATATCTGGGGTTCACCAGGTTGCAATGAGTTGTGTAGTCGACTTGATGGCACCTAACAAAAACAGTAACATTTTCTGAGGCCTTGTGCCTCTGAGAAGATCTTTTCCTTGTCCTGTTTCATCATATTACCAAGTCCAGGCTGGTTTGGTGGTTGTCTTACAAAGTTAGAAAACAAGGGGAAGGGGTGAAGGCTGAAGACTTAACCGTGAAGACACAAGTACTGCTAAGTCAATTCCTTGTGGTCCCGTGTGCAGAATGGAATTGCTCCATGAGGTTTCACAGCTATCATCCTTCAGAAGATCACCAGGCCTTACTCCCGTGGTGCCTCTGGGTGGGTATGAACCACCAACCTTTCAGTTAGCAGCCCAGCACTTAAACATATGCACTAGCCAGGGGCCTACTTACCGAGATGTGCTGTAACTCTGGGAGTCAGGACCATGGTGGATGAGGGTATGGAATATATTAGTGTTTCATTTCTTAACTGCCATCTGAGTCAGAGCAACGATGAGTCAGAGTAACCAATTTTCCATTCAAAATTGGGAAAAGATCACAAAAATGTGCTGACTCGGGCACTAATACTACACTACTCAGAACCGTATTAAGGGCAGCCTGTTAGGGCTGAGCACTGGCTCTATCCCAGTCAACACACGAATGATTCCGCGCTCCGGCCGCAGGATGAAGGGGGCGACGTCCCTCGTCACCTCTTTCCTGAAGTCTTTCTCACCACACAGCTGACACCGATGATCTCTCTTACAGAAGACGGGTCTGAGACCGCATGCGCCTCTCTATCTTGTGATCTTGGACTTTACAGGCAAAAAGCTTGGAGGATAGACAGGTCTCTGGAATCCAACCCCCTAGAACAAGAATGCACTTTACGTGCATTATAACAAGTGCTCACAAAGATGCAATTTTAGTTCATACTTTGTTTCTTCCTCAAAAGTATCTGTTACTTTAGACTCAAGACAAGAGACAGAAAAAAAGGTTTTTCTTTCTTTTTTCACCCTTCCATTGTGCATTTTGAAATCCCTTCAAAAGCCACAAGCACGTATGAAACAAACTGTCTAGTCACATGTATTCAAACCACAGCGTTCTTCCCAACCTACCACTTGGGAAGCCAAGAAGGATGTAAGCAAGCCAATCTGCATGAAAGAAAACTGTAATATCTCCAGGCTGGGAAACCTCAAAGTGCCATCTATGCACGATCTTGGCTCAGAAAGGCTCTGTCAGTATTGAGCACAGAACACAGCTAGGAATTACCAATTACCAAGAGGTTCACAAGGACCACACGAGCGTCAGGCTATACTGATGCATGCCTCACCTTCAGAAAAGTAGTTTCTTTTCAAACTTTTAAAAGAAGAGTTAACTGAAGACTATATATCTGTAGTTAGCAAGTGGAAAATGTTTAGTCACATTGTTTTTGTTGTTGATTGAGTGCAAAGGCATAAAAATACTAAGATGTTTAGGTGGTAACATAAGTGATTTTTGTTCTCTTCAATTTTATAAAGTTCATATGAGCTTATATTTTATAATAAAAGTATTTACTACCCAAAGGATAAGAGGAAGTTTTAAAAATCTGTCTCTACAGCTAAAGGTTAATAAGAAGGTAAATCTTTCTCAGACCACCTACTGATGAACTGAGAGGGGAAACGAAGGTTCATTCCTCAAAGAAAATCAATTTGGAAATGAACCTCATGTTATATGAATGTGCGTGACAATTTGAAATTGATTCAACTGGTAAAGTACATATTCAGACTACAGCAAAGGCATCCACTTCCTAAACAACATGCCTCCAGAAACTCTATGAACTTTGATAAATGTTGATAGTTGTAGAAAGGCTTCAGGCTTCTCGTTCATAGGGTCACTTTGTGTCGTGTTCGACTCTAAGGCAATCAACAATCAAAAACAACAAACAACTTTTCAGTTTTTTGCAACAAAACTTTTCAAAGATGTGAGAATCATATGTTAAAAGAAAAACTGGGGTTTTTTTAATAGCAACTCCCAGACAGCGAGTTCGTTAGCTGCAGTGGCTTGTAACTGGGCACCAGTGTTTAGCTCTCAAACACCAGGAAATCGTGCCTCATTAAGGAGAGGCTTCACAGCAAAGTACTCATTCTATTTAAAGACACAAGAAACCTGAAGTCAATGTGACCACTGATTATTCTGGTGTCTACACTTAGTGATAATCAGCTCTGAGATCACATCTCCTCAGGGGTGAGTAACAGTCCCAGAAATGGGCAAAGCGCACAGAAAGCACTGTCTCCACTGTTCTTGAGAAGGAAGAGTTCTCCTTAAGTTCTAGAAAGTGGATGATTTCAGACGATAAACCAAACTAAACCTGCTGTCCCTGCGTCCCTCCCAATGCATGTGGTCCTGCCCTGGCTTTCTGGGGCAGCAAATCTTTCTGATAAGAGACTGCTCACCTTTCTCCTGTGAAGTTCCAGATGGATTTGAACTGCTCACCTTTCAGTTAGCAGCCTACCACTTAACCTATAAAGCATTCCACAGAGACAGTTTTTCTAATTTCAAATTATTTTCTCATTATAAATAAGTCAGAAACGAAATAGGAAAAATCCTGCCAGGGCCCAAATTAGACATTCTATTTTCTCAGGCAGCCTACAAAGCTCACTTACCCTTCTGGTGTTTTCCAGGATTTTGGGATCTGGTTTTCCATAGTTAGGAGGGTTGGCATATGGGTCATACCCCAGTTTGGCCAGCATGGGCGCAATCACTGCCATGTCTTGTAAAACATCTGGCGGGATCTTCCCCACCCACTTGGAGAGGGCACCCACGTTGACTGGCTTGATGACTTGGTCTGTGGATCTCTCCACTCTGAAAACAACAGAATGCATTTGGTTTAGAACAGGAAAAAATGTATTCAAAACTCCAGAGCTTACTTTTTTAACACTCCAAAAAGTTGTAAATGCCTAGATTATAAAGCAAGATGGCATTAATTAGCCTTCTGCTATCCATATCTAATGTGTAAGAGCAACTATTAGAACTTTAGATTTCTAGAAATAGAAAAGGAAATCATGATTTCCTAGAAAATCATCTACACAAAAGGTAATGACATTTTAATTGCAGTTTCCGAGGGGGAGGGGGAGATAAGACTGTTTAGAGGGGAGCTCTGGTGGCCTAGTGGCAAGAAGCTGCACTGCAATCCCAGAGGAACACGGTTCGAATCCACCAGACGCTCTGCTGGAGAAGGAGGCGCACTATCCTCCTGTACCAGTCAGATCTGATTTGACGGTACACACACACAAAAAAAAAAGAAAAAAAAAAAGGACTGTTTAGAAAAAGTTGGTCAATTCAACTGACATTCATTTAGAAAAAAAGACACTAAGAATACAGACTGACAGACAACTTGGGAGCAGACAGATGATGGACACCCAACCTAAAATCTTGTTGTCTGTCACAGGGTCAGTCCCAATTCACAGCGACCCTCCGGGGAAGAGCAGACGGCCCCCCAGCGTCTCCGAAGCGGTAAAACTCTGCAGACGCAGACTGTGACCTCAGTCCTACACAGAACAGCTTCTCAGTAAGCAGCTGAGCACTTCACTACTGCGCCACCAGGGCTCTATAGACAGACAGACTGCTATTGCTGTTGCTGTGTACTATCGAGCGGGAAGTGACCCGTAGCTGACTCTGCAATGGGTTTTCAGAGGCAGTTAATCACACAGGAGGAGATGAGATTGCCCAGCCCTTCTCCTGAGGAGCAGCTGGTGGATTTGAACTATGTGCCTTTGGACTGCAGTGCAGCTTCCTACCCACCAGAGCTCCCTAGACAAAGTGACAGGCATGTGACAAATATAATAAAATGTTAACTGCAGAGTCTGGGTTGTAAGCATGTACTTTCACGTCTTCTGTGTGATTAAAATTAGTGGTCAGAATAAAACATTCTGGGAAACACTGAGTGAAAAATAGCCATAAATCCACTCAAAACACAAACTGTTTTCCACTGACCCTGTAAAGGCTCTTATTTTCTAAGGAAGAAAAAGAAGTGCTGCTTTATGATTTTCAACGTTACATGATCTCTCGTCGGAAATTTACTCAAAACCGGCAACAATTATATTTACTATATTTGAGTAAATAATTAGCAATCTGAAAAGAAAGAAACAAAAATACCATCTGGATTTAAATCTAGTCTGAATTAGCAGATTCTGGCCAAGTAATCATAAAACAGAAAGGCTTAGGAGAGTTTTATATCCTAATACATGAAAAGTCATACAAACATTGTCTTAATAAGAGGGGAAACCTCTCTTCAATTGGAATCATGTGTTGCTTAATACCCATGTTAAAAACACACACACACACACACACACACACACACACACACACACACACACACACACACACACCCTCTTTCTAAAGAAAACTGCCTTGTGCGGATATTACATTGGGTTTGCTTTTGAGGCCTGTTCAGTGGAACATGTCCACAGTGCAAGATGTTGACTTCCTCCCTTCATGTTGTTTAATAACCTTTCGTTTGGCTTCCAGATCAGTGTTTCTCTGCCTTTTCTACCACTAGCACTTGTTTTGCTCCCTGGGAACTCTGGTGCCCTTTACAAGAATATTTTCTAAAGGGAAGTAAGCAGAGAGACAAAGCTACCCCGCTTGAGATGCACCACTCACGAGGCTGGGGCTGCTGCCGACCGGATGAAGCTGGTGCTGTTGACATGGTGCACTTCTGAGATGTAAAGGACAGCACAGCTATACCCCGGTGGCACAGGCCTTTGCTATGACTATCAAGACGCGCATTATAGGCTGTACGTGAACCGGACTGTCATATGCCTGGAAGAGCAGTCACCTTCTATGTAAGAGTCATAACATGTTGCAGGCACGAAGCCGAACATCCTGCTCTCCAATCAGAATCTCCCAAACCTTTTTATAACCTTGTAGGCCCACAGACGTATCTGCAGTCAGACGTGCCCACTTGCTGCAGATAATCCTTATCTGAGGAGGCTGCTCAAAGGGGTTACAGTGAAGGTGTCCCAAGATTCTGTGAGGTCATTCTCTCCAGGCTTTCCTCTGCCAAACCTTGTTTTCTCTAAATGTGTCCCCAGGTCTACACTTAGCCCACTGTTTTCTTCCCTTTCTGCTCCAGGGGTGATTTAATCTCCAAGGGTCTCTGCTGGATAATCTCTCCCTGTGTTAACTATATCCTGGTGTGTCCAAGGCAGGTCCCGTTCAGACCGCAGCTAACGGTTTATGGCACCTCCCGTCCATTCTCTCAAGGATGCTGCTTGTAGAATCGGTTATGTGACCCCCTGACCATATGCTGGCTACATGCCCTACAACCACTGCAGTCCTGGACCACCATCCCGCACAATCTCTTCTTGTGCATGGACATCATGTCTCCATCAATGGTCAGCTACCAGGCAAGCCAGAGCTCTGCGGTGGTTTGGGTTGACAGTCACTCTAAGTCACCCAGTTCTACAGTCTTCACCTGGACATGACAGCCTCTCCTCCACTCCTGCTGCCCCGATCCGGGCTCACGTCACCGTCGTGTCTTGCCCAGGTTAACGCGGAAGCCTCCCGTTCTCTCCACGTCTTACGAGGTGGTTTCCTTGCCTGATCAGGCATCACCCCAGCAGCAGGTAGGAAGACCTGGTCTTTTCCATCTCAGTACCACCAGTCTCTGGCCGGGTAACACGGCATTGCTGCTGCCTTAGGAGCTGTGTGAGGAGGGGCCAGCGGAGCGAAGCACTAGCTGGCCCTGTGCCACCCTCACAAGCACTTTTCTTCGAGCCACTGCTGTAGCCATACCGTGCCAACCCACCTCGATGAGGGTCTTCTTGCCTGCCGACCCTCCACTTCTCCAAGCATGATGCCTTCTCCCAGAGACCAACCGTTCCTGTAACACATCGAATGTATGCTGGACAAGGTCTTGAGAGCCTCCTTCTGAAGGAACATTCTGGCTGCACCTCTTCTTCAAGACAGACTATCTGGTTTGTGTACCGTGTTGGCATGCGTGTTGCTGTGATGCTGGAAGCTATGATACCAATATTTCAAATACCAGCAGCATCGCCCACGATGGAGAGGTATCCATGAAGCCTCCAGATTCGGAGTAACTAGGGAGCAGGACTGGTGACCCTCTTTTAATAGCAAGCCAGTGGAAATATATTAGATGCTCAACAAATACTTAGTAAATGAATGACTAAAAGCTTTTCATTTCTAAACTTTGAATTATCAGTTTATAGAAGGACTCCTGTGAGAAGTGAAGGGTCTTTTCTTCCTAAGGAGATCACATCTAAGTGGCACAGAAGATGCGACTACTGGAGAGCATGGCAGTGATTTCATCACACTCACCGGGGCGCCCCAGGATCTCAGAGGACAGGAGGCAGCTGAGGATAGACGCCGAGTGCTGACCTCCACCACACTCACCAGGGTACCCCGGAATCTCAGAGGATGGGATTCAGCTGTTGATAGATGCTTTTAGGAGAGGAAAAAGGCCTTACAATAAACAGACTAATATTTTCTTCCTTCCTCTGCTGGGCCTTTACATATGTTATATAATCTAACCTTTAAAACAACCTTGAAAGTAAGGTGGTGTTTCCATTTTTCAAACATGTAAACGGAAGTCCAGAGAAGGTAAGAGGCTTACCCAGGCTCACTGTCTGTAAACGAGAGTCAGAATTTGAAGGCAGGTCTAATGGTCTGTTTGTCCTGATGTTCTCTGCTCAATCTCCTAGCTGGTTGGAGCTCATCAAATCCCCCTACTTCTTCAGTCCTTGTAGAAGTTAGTGCTTACGCCAAAAGATTACTAATGTATAAACTCGTTACCATTCCAACATCTTCTAGTCTGAGGGGGACCTCAAATCGGGTGCCTGAGCCACTGGCCAACGTGTAGAGTACAAGGCCAGACATCTGCCAGTCTGCGTGTCCTGTCTCTGACACCGAGTGTCCAGGAGCCTCTCACTCCCAGTCCAGTCTTCACGGTGATGGACACTCTTCCATGATGAACAGAGACTTGAACTGCTGAAGTGAGAGGATCGTCCCCAGGGTGCTCATTTTACACACAGGCCGCCCTGTGTCTGGATTAAATGTTATGGTCACACCAGTTGCCAAACCACAAGTGTGAATTCTAGCATAAGCCACTACTCCAGGAAACAAAAACCTTCCAGATTATAAAGCGTCTGGCTGGAGCAGATGGGCCAAAAAGCCAAGGGTCAAAGAGGGGGTGCCTTCTCCAGATGGTGAGGTGGATGACAGCAAAACTCGGGATAAAACGTCATGGAAAGTTCTCAAAGGGTGTTTCACTACTTGAAAACACTACGGTTATTGTTGTGAGAGAGAATTTAAAAGTGCATATACAACAGAAACTCAATTTTGCAAAGCTGTGTTCAATATCATGCTACATCCATGCCCGGAATCATACAAAAATGCTAAAAATGACAGTGGTGTGATAAAGCTTGATTTTTCTTTTATAATTTGTCTACATTTTCTATGATAAATGGTGTTTTTCTTTTTACCCCAACATAATAGGGGAGCTATTTCCACCCAGAAGTCCGACAGTTATCTCAAGGTCACCGTGGCCAAACAGAACTCTTGATCTTAGCCCCGCAAATCGGCTACACTCACTGCCCCATCCACCTCAGCTGGAAGTCATTCCTTTCTTCCAGTTATTCAAGAGAAGAGAAAATTGGTTTTATCTTCGATAAGTCCTTTTACACTCCACATCCAATCAGCCAGAGAGACTTGTCAACGATACCTTAAAAATATAACTAAATCTGACTACTTGTTATCCAAATCTAACTCAACTCTCGTCCAAGTCAACACCGTCTCTCATATGTATTTCTGGAATAGTCTTCTAACCCGGAAATACCTCACAT